TTGTTTCAATAGTGAATTTGATGATATTTGAGTTCATGTTTGGTTTCCTGGGGGTTTTGACATGTCCCAAAGAGAGTGGTGGGGTTTGATAAAAAATCCAAAGTACAAGAAGTGGGTTAGAGAGGGAACCGAGAAAAAACTCTATGCTAATAGCTACCCCTCTTTGTTCCGAGGTAGTGAGCTATAGAACAATAAAGACCAAAAGAATCACGAGGAGATTTTTGTTAGGGACTATGTGAAGCATGCTCTCAGAGGTAATATTGCTCAAAGGCCAACTTTGTTGTGCATCTACCTAGCCCCCATGGAATGGTGTATTCACGGGGAACAGGACAAAGCGTGCGAGAGTGCAAGAAAAATACTTTGAAAACATAAGAAAGAAATATAGGGGCCTAAGATTTGAAGACCTTCTATCGGGTAGAACAATTATGCTCTTCATACATCATTGTCTTAAGACTATCTAGAATTTGTTTACATGATGTTATTTTGTCAAATTGTCTTTGAATAGAATTATCTAATGATGCAATGATATAACGGCAGGCAAGAGAGTTCTTTTTTTTCCCATTCTTAATATTCCTCTATTTTCGCCTTAGAAGCTTTTTCATCGGGAGGATCCAGTGTCTTCTTGTTGTGCAATTTTGTTAAATTTTTTAGACATGAGCACAAGGTTAAGGTTGCGTATCTAGTTTACGTAGTTGGGTCCTTTGAGCTTATTATCAGCTAGTAGTTATCGAATGATTCATGTGCCATTTGTGATAAATTACACGAATAAGGAATTAGTTCACGAAAATAGACTTTTATCTATGTTCCATTTCCATTTATTCATTTTTAAGACTTYCCTCAATCTTAGAGATGGAGACATTATTCATGTCTCTAGAAAATGTGGGAAACCACATAGATGAATAGGGTTAACTGTTTTAACTACATAACTATTAGACAATGTATGCCCTTAGTTCCAATCAAATTGGTGTACACTAACATTTATAAGTAAATGAATAAAGTATATTATTGTTTTATGTTTAAATTGGTGTGTTTCTATGAATTTCTCATAAAACTGGACACTTATGAGATTCGTGTTAGTTTAAAGTGTTATCAGTCATTGGATAGAATTGAGAAGTCTATCTTGATAAGGTTGACACTGGTGTGCTACCACAACCAATAGATATTTAGAAGAAACACTAAACCTAGACCAATTTCCAGTTATGCCTTAGACCTTGGATGGATGGGCAAAAACTAGAAAGTTGCATTTAACCCTAGATTTGATTATTATACTACATTAGATTTTGGACTAAACTGCCTTTGATGTGCCAACCAGTAAGATCAATCAAGGGTCAAATATTTGCGCATGTTAAGGAAATTTGGGAAATTGCCTAAGTAGGTGATCATAATGATAGAACCAACCCCTTTGTCAAACAAAGTAAATATCATGGTTTGCATTCTCTCTGATGAAAACCTAAATTGCTAGCAGTTGATTTCAACTGTATTTAAAATCTAATTTGCAAAATATATTTATATGTTATAATACTAATTTATGAAAAATATTTGCAAAAGGTTTTGATCTCATGATCCATTAGAGTAAAGATCGTGACACCACAGTTTGTAGTCAGGGAAGAGGTCCTTGCCTATGGGCTCCTTGCATTAAAAGATCTAGACTCCCTGCATTATTTCTTTTGGGTATTGAAGCAAACTTTTCTTCTGCTAGGTTATTTCTTTCTCAGCAATGATATATTGTTGATTTACTGCGCTAAAACCGATTTGATGGCACCAACGTAGTTGCCACTCCTATGGCACCCTCTACTAAATTATCTAGGTTCTCTAGCATGCCTCTTATTGATCCAATTGAGTATTGGAATGTTGGAGTTCTCCAAATGTCACTTTGATAAAGCCGAATATCTCTTTCATTGTTAACGAGGTGTATTAATTCTTACATTGCCCAACCGAGGAACATTGGTTTGCGATAAAATAGATAATTTCAATATCTAAAGGCTATTATTGATTTTGGTCTTCATTTTACTACGTTCTTTGATATTATTTTAATTGGTTATTCTAATGATGATTGGGCTAGTTGTTCCAATGATAGACAATCCACTGGCAAGTATTCTATTTATCTTGGTTCCAAGCTCATTGCTTGGAGTTCAAAAAAGCAAGCTGCAATTGCACACTCGAGTACAAATCTTGGTTCAAGCTCATTATCTTGGTTTCAATTACCGGTTTTCTAAAGGAAAGGAAGGGAAATGTTTACAAATCTTGTATAGGTTTCTCTGCATTTCCCTTCCTTTCCCTACTCTTTACTTCAAACCAAACATAGCGTTGGTGGTCATATGGGAATAATGGGATGGCCAAATAGAGGACATACAACAAGGGAAAAAATTCTTTGGTATCTCCTTGTATTTGGTGACTGTTGGGAGTCTATGGAAGGAGAAAAATCAGATATACATTTTCCAAAAAGAAAATGTCAAGAACAATTAATTCACAAGATTTAGATGCAACTATACATTTAAGATTTGTTCTTGAAGCTCAGTTTGGAAGAAGTACAGATACAAATATGTAGAGTGCAAAACCTTACATTTTGTATTATTTTGTATGTATTTGTACTGTACATATTTGTATTTGTACTGTACATATTTGTATTTGTACTTCTTCTTGGAAGTAGTACAAATACAAATATGTAGAGTACAAAACTTTGTATTATTGTCTTATTTTAAATGTATTTGCACTATACATATTTGTATTTATACTCTTTCCAAACTGAGACTGAAGGGGTAACATTTGTTTACTTTTGTAGGAATGAAAAGATTTTTTTTATAAGCAAAAGATAATTTATTAATTTAATTATATATGTGAGTACAACTTGATGACCAAAAGAGGGTTTTGAAGGGTTAAACACCTCTACTTTAAGATGGAAATGTAGAACAATGGGTTAGACACCTCAAACTTAGGTTAAACAATATCATTCTGTAATACAAAGGTTCAAGGTTTAAATACTTGTACCTTAGGCTCAAACACTCACCAATTTTTTAATGCAGATGAAATATAGTCTTTATGGGTTTGCCATTGATTCAGAAGCCCTTATTCAGCCGAAAATCACATTTTCTATTTCTTTACTAAAGATAGGAAGACGAGGACGATTGCTTCAACATAATGCTACTACACGATTGCATCATGTTCAATCAATCACTCTTGAAGTGTCTAATTGTGCGTTTGAAATGAAAAGGGTTTGTTTGATTACATAAGGATAAAAGAAAAAGAGGGTGTAGATGCAGCAATGTCGGAAAGTATAAAAGATAATACACTTTCAAGGGTATTATGGAAAAGATAATAATACTCTTCCAAGGGTATTATGACCAATGTACAATCTACTGGTATGGGTGCAACTTTTTCGTGATAGGGTTGGGATTTTGTCAAAATTTTAATGGCCCAACCCAAAGCTCGAGCCCAAACTGTTAACTCGGGCCAACCCAACTTGCACCCCTTATCTATAGGATTCATTAAAGGGTAACCTTGGCTTGTTAACATTTGGGGTGCTCACAGTTCGGTTAGTCGAACCGTGGGGCATATTTTGTAATTAAACTGGTAGTACCGATTTTTAGAAAACTGGTAATTGAAACCGAACCGGAACCTTTCGGTTAATCATTGGTTCGGTTTGTCGGTTTTTTAATTTTTACAATATATATTATAAAAAAATATATAAATATATAATAAAAATTATAAATATATATGTAATACATATTTATTAATTTATAATGTATAAAAATATAAAATATATATAATATACATATATATATATATGTATATATATATATAGAAATATATGTATATCGGTCAGTTCGGTTAATCACCAGTTTTTTGTATTGGTTATCTGAAGCTGAACTGGTACCTTCGGTTTTTTAAAAACATTGAATCGAAACCAAATTGACTGGTTCAGTTGATCGATTTTTTGGTTTGGTATTTCGGTTGGTTCAATTTTTCATTTTTTTTTTGCTCACCCCTAGTTAACATTTGTAACATTGAATTAAGAAAGAGGAATAGATGCAACGATGATGTCCGAAGTACAGTTGGGGTAGGTGCCAACTCGAAATTGATGCCAATTCACAGGCGGGCATTGGTGTATAGAGTGGGGGTATTTGACCATTTGAATTTATAGGTCTGTAGTGGAATTCAAAAATCTGCATTAGGCATGTCCGTGCTTTTCTATAGAAAATATAGGAGGTTTCAACGATCATACCTAAAAAGATGAAAACTTGTGGATTGCACGGCACAAATTCATCGTATCGTGATCATGACATAAACAATTATGGTCGGGATCATATGCGAACCAAATATGATGATAATGTATTTGTCCAATTGTTAAAAAACTTGTGGGTTTTTAAAAACTGGACTGAAATGATCAGACAGTCAAATCATTTAACCTGGGAACTGGTCATGTTTCCAAGTTCATTTTTTAGATTGGATTGCATTTTTGAAAAAAAAAACGTTGAATCGGTCAAAGAACCATTGATCCATTCGGTCAAACTGCTAAACCATTCGACTGGGGCAGTGGTTTGTAGTTTAATAAAAATATTTATTTTTTTAAGATTATTAATAGAGGAAAAAAAGAGATTGAGAGATGGGGAGGGGTTGAGTTTGAGACACGATCTCAAATATGGGAGAGAGAGAAGATTAGAGAGAAAGAGAGGCGAGCTGAGGTTAGAGATCAAAGAAAGAGAGAAAACGAGATCTCATATCTGATATCAAAGAAAGAGGTTGCCATTTCCATTACCGGTGAAGGTTGCCTTCTTCTTCTTCTTCCTTTCTCTCTTTCCCTCTTTCCTTTCATTTTTTTCTTTTCTTTTCTTTCTTTTTTGTTTTCTGAGCCATACAGCCACCTAGCTCTAGTTCTCTCTTTTTTAGAGATAGAAGAACTCTAATATTTCAAAGGTCAAAGCGCTTGAACCGTTCGGCTCGGACGGTCGAACCGATGACCCGAAAACCGGTGATGAAAGCGGTCCGTTTCCCGATAGTATTTTAACCCAAAAGAAATGCACCATTTCCCTCCCGCTGTTACAAACGATGCTGAGCTCCGGAAGTATAAGCTGAACGGGAAAGGGAAAAAGAGACATAAATATCCAAAATTCCAAACCCTAATGGGGTGTGAAGAACCAAGTAAAGTCTCGAAGCAAAACTGGTGCAAAGAGAGGGGAGGTGGCAGGAACATGAAGTCTGCTATTAAAAACCAGAAGAACCCTAATCGAATACCTCTAGGCCCAAACAGAGCCTTGATGAAAAAGAAGAAGAAGAATACTGAGAGCAAGACCGAAAACGATGAGAAAAGCAATGTCTTACAACCGACAACTACTACTCTTCTTCCGTCACAGCAATTCGGCTTTTTCTTGGATCGTCTTAAATCTGCCAATAATCGTCTCAAACTTTCTTCTCTCGAGATGGAATCAATGGCAGGTTCCTCTCTCTCTCTCTCTCTCTCTCAGCAACCTTCTGTGGCTAATAGTAATTTGAAGAAATTCTCGGAACTCGACTGCTCTATGCAGCTTATATCTATAAAATAGACCATCAAGTATATGAGGTTGAGCTGATGTGATTTTGTTTTTAGTTGATTCAACTCTGAGCGAATGCCAACATTTCCTAGAAATAACTGGGTTATTGCTTAGGTGCCGGTTCCAKTAACTAAGATGCCTAATAGGTTCCTTTGTGATACTAGTATTGTTATGAGAAATTCTTTAGTGGGTTTTGACAGTTTTGATTTCCTGCTATTTTGTATTGCTTTCTTTTATATTGGAGTGCATGCAAGTAATCTATTAATTGCCTTTTTGTTTTGAAGTATGCAGATACATGCATAGTAGAGCTATTGCAAGATCTAGAGCAGAATGCTGGTAATTTGAGCAAACATATGAAGGCTGTTTTTGGGAAGTCATGGAAAAATGTACTCTGTGAAGGGCAGCTTTTAGAGGGAAAGGTTGATCCAGGGAGTCCAGCAGTTCTTGTTATCAGTTCATCTGCCTTGAGATCGTTAGAGCTTCTCAGGTGCCACTACCTTGGCTTACCATATTTCCATATTTCGTTTACTATGTCATACAATAATACTGCGATGTCTTCAAGTTAGAATTAACTCTTTAAGCAATTTATCACTTTTTATTCTACTAATAGTTTATAAAGTTTAATGTTTACTGCACTGCATTAGGGGTCTCCGCCCATTGACAAGAGAGTGTCAGGCCGCAAAGCTATTTGCCAAACATTTGAAGGTCAATGAACAGGTAGTTTCTCTGTTATTAACTTTATTATTTCATGCAGTTTGTATTGATTAAAATGAAACGAAATGACAAGGGCTCCTGTTTTCTCAATCACCAATTGGGGCTGTTTCATTCTTGCTGTTTTATTTTAGTTGAATGAGAAAGTTCATCAGACTATCAAATACCAATTTGATGATAAAGTATAAAACTACTAAAAACATTGTTTTAAAAGATGCCAGGTGAGGTGGAGCCAAATCTCCTTGCCTCAGCAACGTTGTGGTTGAGGTAAGAGACTACTGCCTCAAATTTGATGAGGTGTATGCCTCACCGCCTCACATCTCAAATTGGTGAGACATATTCCTCATCTAGACAGCATAAAAAATTGAAAAATAATTTAAAACATATTAATTATAATGCTCTTTAAAAGTGAAGGAAACTTGATTATTTAGTTGGTTATGAACAAAAACAAAACAATTTAAACTCAAATTTTTCATGATATCTCTCTTAACTCAAAAATAGTTTTTTTGATTATTTTTGTAATTAATGTAATAATTCATTAATCCTAATGTGCAATTCCTTATCTCAATGTACTGTGTGAGAATAACATCTCAATACATATTTCATCTCTTCCACATCTTCATCATCTTTTTCTTTCATCTTTTCTTTTCTTCATTTCCTATAACAAAAATATGGAATGGTGAACGGTGGTGGCGGTATGGTGAGGGGAAGCCTGCCATGGATGGGGGATGGGGGGCGCAAGTCAAAGATGTCACTACAATAAAGGCCTGGCCTACCAGGGGTAGTTGGCGCTTCTATTGGAATGGGGATATTTTCTTAATTGAAATAGAAGGTAATGGAGTCGATCTCCATAGGAAGTTCTTGGAGTCGTGTCTAGTTGGTAAGTTTGAGGGGGAGGCTCCGGACCTAGCAGGTGCCGAAGCTTGGGTGAGGGAAGCCTGTAACTTCTTGGAGGAAGTCAAGGTGAAAATGCTGATCAATGGCTTGTTCATGTTCATTGTCCCTTCAGAGTCAGATCTGAAACATATTCTTAGTAGGTCTCAATGGGGAGGGGGGGAGTAAAGTTCTATTCTTCAACAGGTGGAGCATCTTTGTTGGTTGTTCCATGAATGAGCTTCTGAGACAGGGGTCTGTAGACAAGAAAGTCTAGATTAGAATCTACGGCCTTCCACTAATACTTTGGAGCCCGGAAATCATATCGATTCTGTGGGGGTTGGGCTAGTATAGGGGTCCATTCACCTTTGTTTATTGCACTTGATCATCCTGATTGGCAGATTGCAAGGTTGGGCTAATCTCCCTTGTACGCACAAGATACACAGGACTCGAAGAAACATTCATAGCAACAAAATCCGGGATTAAAAGAGAATTTTGTACAAAGGAAGGATTTGGTGAACCCTTAACCCCAATCATTGGGCTTAAGTCAGAGGTGTTACCCTCACAAGAATCACAACCAACCTCTAGATAGTCATGGGAACAAGGCAATTTGTAGATCTACTAAGAATTTCTGGGTTGACTTCACATGTCCTTCTAATGCCCTGTACTTGGTTTTGTTTTGAACATAGTAGTTCTCCTCTGTTCTCTGTCTTAGATTTTACTTCATTTGAAGTGGAGCCTAATCTACCTTCCTCTTTCCCGGGCTCAAGAGCCTAGGAAGTGTGGTAGAGAGCTTGTTATCAAACAGTAGTCTCAAACCATCTCCCGATTCTTCCCCAAGTTGAGATTGGCACTTTGAACACTACCGAAGCTGGAAACTCCAGAGTTCTCCTCTCCTTCTGTACTTTCCTCCAAGCTTATCCACCCTGAATCTATTATTTTGTCCCTGTTCTTTCGATTGTACCTTGGGTTTAGCTTCTCTAGACTGGTAGAGTAGAAAATGTGTACATATATATATATATATCTATATATATCTTATCTTGATTTTAGAAAAATCAAAACAATGTCTTAATATTTGGTAATATATACATTTTAATAATCAATTATAGCATGGGTGATCAAGCTGATAACTCTGAGTGACGAGAATCGAACCAACGGTGGTGATCTTTTTCCAGCGGTGGAAATCGTAGCAGGGATCATGTTGTCTTGCCGATGAAGGGTATTTTGTCTGAAGTTTTGATGGAGCGTAGAGTCTCTTACAGAAGATCAGGTGGAGGGAAGCGAAGATGGGAAGCCTCCAACCGGTACCGCAAACTGGAGATGGAAGGGAGGGCTAGGTGCAATCTTTCCTACAGTGAAGTGGTGGCTGCGAGGGTTTGGCTTGATCTTGGGGGGTTGGAGGTGAAATGGGTTAATGGTAAAAGGGTGGTTGCTACAGATCCTCAGGGGGTGACTGTGAGAAGAGAGTTTTTGAGGAACTGCTTGGTGGGTAGGTTCCATTGGGGGGAGGGGATTAGGGAGGTAGAGAGGTGGGCAAATAGTTTCTAGAGGGAGGTGGGGGGTGTGAGTGAAGAAAATGGCAGATGGACTTTTCCTCATTATTTGTCCGTCGAGAGCTGGTGCGGAATGGGTTCTAAGGCAAGGTCCTTGGCGGTTGGGGAGGAACCCCCTTTTGCTGGACTGGTGCGGGGCGAGTGCGGGATGTCATTACCTTGACCCTTTCGAAGTTGGAGAGGACCTGAAGTTGTGCTGGATTTAGGGTTTTCGGCCTTCCACTCCTGCTCTGGTGCTCAAGTGTCATAAGGGCTATAGGGGATGCTTGTGGGGGTTTCATAGAGACGGACGATTCCCCGCTGAAGATTGCGATCTGTGAGTGGGTAAGAATGAAGATTCGCAGGGGAACCAAATCCTAAACAAGGTTGAAGTGGTGGCGGGGGAAGTGGACTTCACTGTTCAAATCTGGTAAGAAGTTCTGCCGTCTGTTCGAAGATGGAGAGGTGGAGAAAAGCCGTCTCGCGATGTCTAGAAGGAAGACAAGGAGTGTTCAAACTGCTCCAAAACCTTGGTCCTGGAAGATTGTGGCGAAAGTGCGCTCCCCTATTTTTATGAAGCAGTGCGATATAAGAAGACTGTGATGTGAGGATTGTGTAACTTGCAAAAAGAGGTAAGATCAATACTGTGGAAAACTTGCAAAAGAAGAAACCTTTTTTGTGTAAAGTGAAGGGTGAGGATTGTGTAACCATTTGCTGATATCATGCTCCTTTGCTACCAATATTTGGAACTGGGTTGTTTCATTATTTGGGTGCAGGTGGAATTTGCTCTCTGAAGTAAAGTTGCTGTTCACTCCGATTGCTTTTGGGAGATTGACAAAAAGAGGGAAGCTAATGTGGAAATGTATCAGAGCTGCTACGTTGTGGACTGTATGGGAGGAGAGAAATGCTAGAATATTTTAAGAACAGGAAAGAAATCTTGCTGAAATCAAGGAATGCATATTGACAAGGACTATCTCATGGTTAAAATCTTCACACTTGTTGGCCTTTGATGACTTAAGGAGAAATTGGGCTGCAGTGGCTGCTACAGTCTCTACCAAGATCAAATCACAAGCTGAATGGATTCCCCACCGGATGGTGTGGTAAAATTGAATTTTGATGGAAGCTGCCAAGGTAACCCAGGGCCATCGGGAATTGGTGGGATTCTGAGAGGCAAAGACAACAATATGTTGCCTCTATTTTCAGGACCAGTGGGTGAAGGTGATTCGGTAAGGGCAAAGCTACTAGCAGCGATACAAGGTATATAGATGGCTAGTCAAATTGGAGTGACCAATCTACTAGTAGAAGGGGATTCCAAGGTAGTAGTAGACTGGCTAATTAGCCTAGAAACAACTTGTTGGGGCTACAGGGATCTGTTAAAGAAAGTTAAATGGATGACAAGGAATATGATTATCAGGTTTCCGTGGGTCAGAAGATTAGCAAATGCAATGGCTGATTCTCTGGACAGGCAAGGGGTGTCAAGGGGAGATCTATTTTGGGCTACTTTGTACTTGTGTCTCAGGCTTGGGCAGTTTTGGTGTATATGGTTCGGTCCTAGGGGGGGTAACATCTCGTGCCTCCTTCTAGGTTGATTGTTTTTTTGTTATTTGATTTAATAAAACTACTCTCATTTATCAAAAAAAAGGAGAATAATTAATTAAGGTAATTAATTTGTAACGTATCAATCGATACATTAGAGTATTGACCTGCATTGGCCGATACAGACTCGAAATGGTCCAATACGGGTCAATATCAGCCCGATACAGGCGAAAAGGAACAAAAAAGTGGTTTCGATACGTTCCATGTATTGGGCCTTTAGTGGAACGACGATATGTATTGATTGGTATGGGCTGATACGTTGCGAAATTGTGAACCTTGGTTAGGCCCATTACTCTATTGGTTCTTATTCACATTAATTGCAAGTCCATTAGACCTGAATGGCATGGGACTCACTAAGCTCTCACATCAATTCTTATGGGTTTGACCCATGTAGAGAATCACATAGGCCGAATTCACTAGGTGAACCTAGTGAACCCCTAAGCTAATCGAATTGGGCTTATTATGGACCCAACACTTAAGTGTAAGTGGGCTTTGGTTTCAGCCATCTTATGAAGCCCAAAAATAGTGGATTAACATAAGAAGAAAGCCCATTAAGTTTCAACCCTAAATGGTCTTTTGTTCTTATCCTCTCATCCGAAATATCTATCCACTGCTCACAGTGAAGGACCTCTTCCCTAACCATTAAATGCAGCGTTACACTCTCTACTTAATGGATCTCAAGATAAAAACCTTCTACAAACTTTTTGATTAAATAATTTATTTATAAATATAACTATACTTTGCAAGTTGATTTAAAAAACACATTRAAATCCACTGCCGGTAGTTTAAGGTTTTCATCAGAGAGTGTGTAACCTAGAATATTCTTTTTGTTTGACAAAGTGCTAATCTTATCACAATGATCACTCACCCAAGTGATATTCCAAACTACTCCAACATACCTAGGTATTTGACCCTTGGAGGATCTCACTAGTTGGTATATCAAAAGCAGTCAAGTCCAACAGTTGGTGTAGTGCTAATATATTATCAGATTTGGGGTTATGTGCAACATTCTAGTTTTTCCCATCTGTTTTCAAGGTCTAGGGTATAATTGGAAATTGGCCCTTGTTTAATGTTTCTGATAAACACCCATTGATTATCTTGGATCTAACCTTAGTTGTTGAGATAAGATGCTCCACTAAGTCACTAGTACATTAACGTCAGCCTTTCTAAGATAAACTCCCCAAGTCTATCTAATGGTTGAGGACATACTAAACTAACATAAGTCTCATAAATGTCCAATTCAAGGGGTAATACATAGAAAACACAATGGACACAAACATGAAATAATCAAATAATAATGATTTGATTTCGTTCAAACAAAAGTCAAAATACATCAGTCTAATTGGAGTTCAGGGCATACTTTGTTTAACAAATCCCACATGTATTTCCCATTGCTCGGAACATCTGTAAGCACCACACATGAAGCGGAATACTAATAACGTTTCTCCACACCAGGCTTCTAGCCCCCACTTTGTGGATAGTGTTGGAAGGGTTAGGATCTATCATATGGATGGCTGGACAAAATTTAAAAAATTTCCTAATCCTTTTGGGAATTGTATTCCCTATGTTTTGGAAAACTGCATTTTTCCGGATTGGTCTTGCACTAAACTGGACCAGATTTGAAACCAAACAAAGAGGGAGATTTGTACCTGATACGGATACCACAAATGCAGATCCCAAGGTGGACGTTCACGCCCAAATCAGTCCTAAAACCAGCTTCCACTGAAGATGGCGCAATGTATAGGTGAAGCTGATTTAGCAACATAATTTTTAGCAAAACTGCAACCCAAATACTTGGATCGAACTAGGGAAGGTGAGCCTGAAATTCCGTTGAATTTTTCTTGTAAAAATCAAAAGAAAATTGATCTCTATTAGTCCTTGAAAGCCTAGGTCGTGATAGGGTTTCTTGGAAGACAAAAGAGAACAAGAGAGAGTGGTCTTCTAGTCTGGTTCGCCCTCTTCTTCTTTTATCTCCTTATGGAGCACTCTCCTAATCAAATTAGGAGATTATCTAAATCTAATTTGGATCTGGACTCTATTAAGAGATAAGCTTTATCCTCTTAAGAGGATGGGTTATCTATACCCATTTCCAAACCCAGATTTGACCCAAAACACATGACAACCAACTTAAGTTGTCATGTGACAGCTTACTTAATCTTATTAATTATGGGCATTGGGCTCATTTCCTTTAAAGGCTCATGACCCAAGATGTTGCATGGCCAACTTAGGCCTGATTTCTATGGCGTGGGACCCCACAATGACCTTACATAAGTCCACATGGGTTAAGCCCAACCTCTATGAAAAGGCTTAGCCGAATTTATTGCTAAATGCAGTGAACCCCTGACCCTGAGCACATCACTATGGGCTCAATATGGGCCCAACATTTACACCTAAATGATCATTGAACTCAGTCATCCTATGAAGACCCAAGGATAATAGACTTAAGTAAGATAATGCCAATCAAGTAATCAACCCTATAATATGGTCACAACACTGCCTGACAAGTAAGGACCTCTCTCCTAGCTGCAAGGTGCAGTGTCACACTCTCCACTTAGATGGATCCTAGGAATTAAAACCTTTTGCAAACATTTTTCACAAAACATTAATATTATATCATATAAATATATTTTGCAAAACTAAATCTCAAACACAGTTGAAATACATTGTCGGCAGTTCGGGTTTCTATTAGAGAGAGTGTAAGCCCTATCATTCACTTTGTCCGATAAAGGGGCCGATCCTATCACCATGATCACCCACTCAAGTGAATTCTCAGACTTCCCCAACATACTCGGGTTTTGACTCTTGATGGATCTCACTGATTGGCATATCAAACATAGCCCAATACAACACCTAGTGCAGTACCATAATCAAGTCTAGGGGTTATGTATAACTTTCCAGTTTTGCCCATCAATGTTCAAGGTCCAAGCCATAATTGAAAAATGGTCCGGGTTCAGTGTTTCATCCAAACACACACTACATGTGTTTTGGGTCTAACCCTACCAGGTGAAACAAGCTGCCCCAACTTCTTTGGTAGCACATCAGTGTCAGCCTTGGCAGGATAAACTCTCCAAGTCTATCCAACGGCTGAGAACATTCTAAACTAATACAAATATCAGAAGTGTTCAGTTTAAACAGAAACATACCAATATCAACATGAAACAATAATGTACTTTTATTCATTTACAATATATGTATTTGTACATCAATCTGATTGGAGTTGAGGGCATACATTGTCTAACAGATAGCTCCAACAGAAGGATCCCATCTCCCCAATCTTAACTATGGAGAACTATCCTTGAAGAAGCCACACTCCAACACTTCCTTTGCCTCCTTAAAATTCAGTAGAAAAGGGAAAAACCCTGCATTTAATCTGACTCCAACTCTTCTCGGATGCCATTCTTTAGTACTCCAGAACTTCCTCTTTATCTGGCTCAGATTTCACAAATGACTTACTAAACAGGCTTCTAAACGCCTTACTCGGTCAAGAGTCTCCATCTGGACTCTTTTTCTTTTGAGAAAGATCTCCATCTGGATTCACAGATAGTTCTTTCATCTCTATATATTTGGGTTCACGAATACTTCTTTCAAGTACCAAGTTCCAATCCTCCTGAAGTCCTAGTAAGTGTTTTAAATTCCAAAGTTAAGTAGTTTAATTTCTTATTTCAACCTCTTCTGTGCTATTTTGAATTTTCTGCTTCTTTGATTACCCTGTCCAGCCCCTGCTAACCCTTCATTACAGCCCTACTGAACCCTTTTATAAGCCCCTATTTATTTTGTCATTCTCTTTTAATATCCTTGGCATTTCAACCCTCATAAATATTCCCTTTCACCAGCTTCTGCTAACTAGAGGTGTCAATTGGGCAGATTTGGTTCTACCCGATCCAGTCCAATGTGAGTCCACTTACAAATGGGCTGGACCCAATCCAGTCCAAATCCAATACAAACCAAATCCAATCCAATCMATTAAAATGTAAATGGATTGGATTGGATCCAATCCAAACTGAATGAAATATCAAAATTATATAAAAGCACTTTTAGCATTGAAAAAACACTTTTGTAAAAGTACTTTGATAAAAAATTCTTTCATAAAAGTGCTTTTACAAAAGCACTTTATAGAAAGTACTTCGGAAAAGTGCTTTTGTATCAAAGTACTTTTGTAGAAGCACTTTTATAAAAGCACTTYTCGAAAAGTACTAGACTTATAAAAGTACTTTTGTAAAAGTACTTTATAAAAGTGCTTTCGTAAAAGTACTTTTATTAAAGTACTTTCATAGAAGTGTTTTTATAAAAGTGTTTTCATAAAAGTACTTTTGTAAAAGTGCTTTCATAAAAGTTCTTTCATAAAAGTGATTTTCTAAAAGTGCTCCATAAAATTGCTTTCGTAAAAGTGCTTTTATAAAAGTACTATAAAAATGCTTTCGTAAAAGTGCTTCCGTATTTTTTTTGTAAAAGTGATTTCATAAAAGTGCTTTCGTGTAAAAGTACTTTTGTAAGTGCTTTCATAAAAGTATTTTTGCAAAAGTGCTTTATAAAACTACTTCTGTAAAAGTGCTTTTATAAAACTACTTCTGTAAAAGTGCTTTCATAAAAGTACTTTTTAAAAAATGCTTTCGTAAAAGCATTTTTATAAAAGTGCTTTCGTAAAAATACTTTTCATAAAATTAATTTTATAAAAATATTTTTTGTAAAAGTACTTTCATAAATAAAAATGATTTTATGCTGTTTTCAGTTTTGATTGATTTCAAATTGGACAAGGGTTTGGCCTCATCGGATTATTGAAAATTTGGTTTAGGTCTAAGTCAAACCAATAAGAATATGGACCAATTTATTTTGGTTTGGCCCAATCCAATAATTATAATGGATTAAGAATTGGATCAGATTGGATCCAAATCAAAACTGGTCGATTAACACCCCTACTGCTAACCCCTTTAAGATGGCTTAAGAATTGGATCTATAGCAATATCTTGCTATTATATATATCTTAGTTTTTCATCCTCTTAAACTTCATTAATAAATCCTATTTCTCCTGATAGTTTCACACGTTAAGTCACTAAAACCTATCCCTGTACTTGTTATGCAAAATCCATGCACCCATGTACCCTCAGAATCTTTTTCGATAACTTCTATTTGGTGTGCAATAACAATCCTATAGTTGTTTTCTATCCTCTCTGTCATCACTCATCATCTGGTAATTCATGACCACAATCATGTCTTGTTCAACAAATTCATAATGTTAATGTACATTTACTGCACGGCAGCATCCCATTAGGTTTAACTGTTAACCAATTATTGTCAGAAGCCTTATTTAATCTGACACGCTGCATATTTGAAGGTTATGGTTTGTTTGACATGATTTTCCTACGACTCTTTAATGTTTATCTAGAGAAATTTCTATTGCGTTCCCATTATGTGGGTTACATTAATTCCTGTTTGAAGTTCGAAATGGCATACATGCGACATTTTATATTTCATACTTTCTAGTTGATCTGTTTCATTATAAGGTTGGGAGAACACTGTTTCAGTAACACCTTTTCTCTAATTAGTGGGGAAATATTAATTCTTGTATTTTGGGATGATGTAGGTATCACTGCTGAAAGCCCGTGTGAACATTGCTAGTGGTACGCCAAACAGGTGAGAGATAATATTTATTTATTTATTTTACAATTTCTGCCTTGTGTAAGCCAAGGAACTGTACAAAGAGAAACTATACAAAACTAAGGTTCTCCGATCTTTCCGCTGAACTAATAGCTGACTACAGTTAGAAAGCAAAAAAATCAATATCTAAAAACCATGTATTGAAAGTCATGAGTAAAAAGTGCCTTCAGTTCTATTAAGAACTCCTTCCAAAGAATTGGCAGAAACACTCATTTCTTCGAGTCCAAATGCACCAGAAGACCACCAGAGGAGTAACTCCTCAAACTACTCTATCCATCTCACTTAGGCCATCCAGATGCCAGACCAATAACACTTGCATCATTGATTCTGGAAAGCACCCCTTCCATTCATCTAAGTGATGTATCTAGCATGTAGAGGGCTGCAGGGTATTCTTGAAGGAGAAGAAACGGGGAAGAACTAAGAAAGAAATAAGATGGAAAAAAAATATTCCTTCCTCCTTTGCTTTTAATATCTGTATTTTGTCTTTCAAAATCTAGTACGTAACAAAGTTTGAGGCCTTTGTTCCAAATGGGTGGACCATCAACTAAATGTTTAGCAAGGACAGGAGGGGTTATGTGATGACAAGGATGAGGATATGGACAAAGGAAATAGCAAGTGCAGATGGAGTCTTTAGTATCTCAGCCCACTACTGGTTTGAGGTTCCCTATGGGAAGATTGAACAAGTTAGACATCCCAAACACATGTTGAGTGGTACCAGTAAAAGTGAATTAAGGTAAGGTCAAATTTGTCTAGTAGATTATATTATTTATTCATTGACCGTTTTCTTGTTTGCGGTGGAGGTATCACTTGGATTCGGCCAACCCAAACCTAACCCGAAAACAATGGTTTTGAATTAAAGATTAGGTTAGGATTAAAGTTGGAAAATGCAAACTTGATAGAAGGTTGGTGGGGTTAGGCTGTTAGAATTGATGCCTTGGGCAACCAGATCCAACCTAAACCTGGTGTTTTACTTGTCTCTGTATATTCTCATGTTTCATAACAGATACAGGATTCCCCTTCTCAATCACATGAACTACATCCACCAGGGTTTGGGTACCTTTCAAAAGAAGGGTTGGAGGGGGGGGGGTGAAAGGGATGTGGGATGGGCTACCCACCTACCCCCAATCACAACCACGAATTACATCAAGTATCAATCACCATAGCTCTCCCAACCAACTGATCTATTGCAGGAATCTCAGTGAGTGTGGCTGTCTATATAAAGAAAATTACCTTTGATGGGGCATTGCTTTCCCATATCCATTTTCAAGTGGTGTCCTCTCTCCCAGATCCTTTTTCTCATTGAAAGATCTTACAGATTTGCCCACCCACAACATCTCCATTTCCAAGCGATGTCCTCTGATTAATGCCCGTTGCCCCCTTCCCCCCAACATCTCCATGAAATCATCCACCTCCAAATATTGATTGCAATTTACATTTGAACTGTTGCATCTTTTTTTTTACCTGGGCTATAGAAAATGGCCCAGGAAACGATTCATCTAAGGGCTGCTGACTGCACCAGATATCCCTCCAAAATTGACTCTATCACCTGTTCCCAGTTTCATCTTTATGGATGACATAAATGCCTTCCTGCATTTCATAATACCCCTCCACGTCCCTGAACCATACATGCTATGGATAGGGGCAGTTTCCCAATCATGATTTCATCATCATCAAAGCCTTGTCCTGACTATATGGGGTCAGCTACATGGATCCTGTTTTTCCATTCCATTATGTTCAGTGATATCCATTCATCATTAAATTATAGGCATTTAAAATAATTTCTTATTACTTCCACCTGATTTTTTTTTTTTGATAATTGAATGGTAATTTTATTAACAAGATAAGAAAGCTGTTACAAGCATCCCAAGGAGAGGCACTAGGTGCAATCTCTCCTTGAAAAAACCTACAGGTTAAGCAAACGAGAAAAGATTACAATGCAACCCAGTACACATTTTCCCTATTAACCCCTATTACAATGCGCCTCACATAGGTCCCAGGTGCAGCACTTTCAAACAATGTGCGCCTGGAGCTTCACCCCAGGCGTGCACCTTTTTATTTTTTGCACTTTTTGTTCTTTTTTCAACCTAATGACTACTTGTTGGGGATTGCCTTGAGGGGCTTGGTACAAAGGCGGATCATAGAATAAGGAATGCAAGATGTTTTACATCACATTAACTATTTGAAGTATGCAATTGAGCTGAAAAAGAGATTGTGGGTTTTACATGCTTGAAAATATTTTATATGTTTGATTTTATTTTAAATTTTCATTTGAATATGCTTTACATATTATGTTTATGTATTGTAATTTTACATAATTGTTTTTTGAAAACATTTATTTTAAAACTTAAATGTATATTTTTTATTAATATTATGTTTAATATATATATTTTTTATTTTTTTGCATTTCTTGGCATTTTTTATGAATTTTTTGTATTTTTGCTCCTTGCTTCAAAAAGGCGCATGCCTCACCTTGCGCCTTGCGCCTCGAGCGGCAATTGCTCCTTGTGCCTTTTCTGCGTGCCCCTTGTGCTTTATCTGTGCCTTGTACTTTTAAAACACCGGCTTCAACCCATCTAAATGTGAGATTGTCTTCCTAAGCATGTACGGAAGGAAAAGAAAGGTGGAAGGGCTGACTTGTTTCTATACAAGAAAGGGAAATAAACACACAAAGGGTGACAAAAATAGGAGACAACAGAGAAATTGAAGTCGAAGACTGGGGGTTGGGGAGGAGGGTTGCCTTGACTACTGGAGGACGAGAGGACTTGGAGGCAAGGTTGAGGTTAACTCCTTTCTCACCACATGATAAGCCTCCACTTCTAGGGTCACTTGGTTTCTTCCTTGTGAGGGATGTTCCATGAAAAGATTAGCAACCCTGCACAAACCTGCTTTTGAGTCCATTGCTTCTGACTTTGAACGAAAGGAACTTGAACAAGCATCTCTAGAGGTATCACTTTCATCTGAGAGATTGAACGAGGAGGTGGGAAGATGTATCTTCGCTTTCTCATCAGAGTGGATCTCCAACATTGCTACTAAAACTCCCAAGGGTACATGGGGGTTGGTGGGGATTCATCTCCTTCCTAATACAACTCAGCAATGACCTGCAATCATTTAAATTTTTATGTTCGAAGGAATGAAAGGAATGGGCCCGAGAGGCCTTACACTTCTTGTCCCTACTAAAATTAACTGGGCTTGCCTTATCTCTTGGCCTCAACAAAATGGGCTAAGAAACCTGGGCTTGCCCCCAGGCCCAACCAACTGCTCAAATTGATTTGCTCGAACTGAGCCCACATCTTTCAAATTCAAATTCAAGTCAATTGGACCACCATAAAGGGCAGTAGGAAAATAGCTTTAGGATCTGACACTCTAGTCCTCACCTTGTTTGCCCTGCAACCTCCAACTTAGATTGTCCACGTGTAGGCTTAGGGTGAGGAGGGACTTAAAGGCCCTGACTCACTGAGTTAGACTTGGTCATCTTCTTCGGTGAGATAATGATGTTGAACCAGATATTTTGTTCATGCATCTTTTGTCTACACAATAGACATGCAGGTATTAACAAATGTTCTAAAAATCATAATTGTATCATAAATCGTAAATAAATGTGAATCAGATTGAATTGTGAATTATATAATTAATTGTAAGATTATTTTTTATTTTTTAAAAGCTTATCAAAAAATTAAATATGGATATACTAACAGGCAAAATATAAATAGAAAAGTGATCCTACTTTTTTTTTTTTTTTTAAATCCATATCTACCATATATGTACCCCAAACAAAAGAAGTTACCACTTATACAATAGAAGCCTAAGATAACATAAATAAATGGCTCCATATCCTACATATGATGGGGAATAAATTCAATATATGGTTTTAAATAACATAAATAAATCAATTTCTAGTAAGGTCCTTAAAACAAGTCACCCGTGACAAAACTAAATATAAAAAAAAACCAAAATGACAAAGTAATGAACTAATTCTTAATTGAATTGATTTGAATCGGAGCAAATGACAGAAACCATATAAATATTTATGAATCAAATTGTAGGATTCAAATAAAAATCATAAGATCTTTGCAGAAAAGGTTTCAGACATAAGATTCAAAACGAAACCCTTGGGATTCATGATTCAAATCGTGAATCGTGTAAATTGGAAGATTTTGATAATATTAACACCAACAAACTTGTTGACAAGTCTACTTGCTTATGGGAGAAAAGGGTACAATTCCTTTCTTTCTTCATATTTGGACTTAACCTCTCAAAGATCAAGCCATTTAGAAAAGGCTCTTCTTGTAGAAGCATTCTATATTTTCATAGCCAATCAAGTGAAAGGCTTGGAGTGAAGAAAAGCTATATCAACAACTCAATAAGTATGAGTGCTATATGCCTTTAGCCTTGGTCTTTAGTGAATCTTGCCATAAATTGAAGGTTGCTCCCATCATTGAACTGAATCAACGAGAGTTGCATGAAGGGATGGGAGATCCATTATATGGATAGCCGAACCCTGCAGGAAGGTTGGGCGAAATTTCAAAAATTTCTTGACTCCCACCAGCGAATCCTATTCCCAATTTAGAAAATTACATTTTCAAGGTTCGTTCTTGTAACCAAACCAGAYCAAATTTGAAACCAAAATAAGGGAGGGATATACCTGATACGGAATCCACGTAAGAATGCTCATCCCAACGTAGGTGTTCACGCCCAAAGAGGGTACCAACTCCTCCCTCCATTGAAAATGACACAACTTAGGGTGTTCACCAAGAACTAGTGATTCTTCAGCAAGAATCGAATAGGACAGTGAGCACGGCTTCTACATTGTTTCTTTTGGCAAGAAACAATATCAAGATCCAATCTTGATCCAATCCAAGGACTGGAAATCGAACAGGGTGGGGCGGCAAGAGCAGGAAGAAAAAGAGCAGAAGGCAAGAGTAGTCTAACTGTGTTGTCTTTTCTCTGTATTCAGCGAATGTATCTTTGGAGGTTGGCCCTGCTCTCTTATTTATAGCCTTAAAGAGAAGAATTCCTAATCCCATTAGGAGTTTTCTAATCCAAATATTTTATTTGAATCTGGACTCTTTAAATGATAAGGATAATCCCTTATCTTATCTGCATCTAAAGATTAGCCTTCCTAATCAAATTAGGAGTTCCTTTGATCCAAATCTTTATTTGGATCTGGGCTCTTTAAGTGGATAAGGATAATCCCTTATCTTATCTGTTGATCCAAATCCCAGATCCGCCCCTATTTAATTAATCTAATTAACCCAGTTCAAAATGGGCTTTTAGGCCCATTAAGCTTTCAGGCTCACTTTCTCTTTAATGCTGGCTAGCTTGGCTCTCTTTGTATGGCGTGGGACCCTATCATTGATCTACACATCAGCCACATGGGTTCAGCCTAGCCTCTGTTACAAGGCCTGGCCGAATTCACTACTGAATACAGTGAACCCTTGAGTCCATCACTATGGTCTCTTAATGGGCCCAACATTTACATTAAATGGTCCTTGGGTCTAGCCATCTTTGAAGGCCCAAGGAATGTGGGCAGATGCAAGATTAGCCCATCAGGTATAATCCTCAATGGTCTTACACTTAACCTCTTAGCCCATAATGGTCAAACACTGCTCGACAAGAGAGGACCTCTCCCTCGGCTGCAAGGTACAGTGCTGCACTCTCTACTCACATGAATCTCGGGAATTAAAACCTTTTGCAAACATTTTGAAACCATAATATATATGTATATCTCTATATAATATATTTTGCAAAACAAATTTCAACGGTTGAAATCAACTGCCGTCAGTTTAGGTTTCCATTAGAGAGAGTGCATCCCCGATCATTCACTTTGTTCGACAAAGGGGCTGATCCCGTCACTATGATCACCCACTCAGATGAATTCTCGGACTGCCCCAACATACCCAGGTTTTAACCCCCTCTAAGGATTTCACTGATTGTGCATATCAAAGACAGCCCAATCCGACACCTAGTGCAGTATCATAATCGAGTCTAGGGGTCAGGTGTAATATTCCAGTTTTGCCCATCTATCTCCAAGGTCCAGAGCAATACTGGAATTTTGGTCCGGTTCAGGGTTTCAAGAAAACCCACACTGCATGTACCTCAGGTTTCATTCTGGCAACTGAGACAAGCCACCCCAACCAACTTGGCAGTACACCAGTGTCAGCCTTGGCAGGATAAATCTCCCCAGATCTATCCAACGGCTGTAAAGATTCTAAACTAACACAAGTCTTATATGTGTTTAGTTTAAGGGTATTACACAGAAACACACATAACATGAATCAAATATGTACTTTATTCATTTACGATAAATGTCATAATGTACATCATGTTGATTGGATCTAAGGGCATACACTGTCTAACATTGCATCCCTTTGTACTTCAATCATTATGGATTCAATTTTATAAGTTGCCTCCATTTTTTGTGTTAATTCAAAACATGTAATGTGGGCCTTGTTTTAGTTGGTTTATTAATTTCTTTTGTTACTTTTCTTGTTCTAATTCCAGGATTAAGAAATTAATTGAAATTGATGCATTAAGGCTTTCACGCTTAGCAGTGCTTGTGCTTGACATGCACATAGATGCCAAGGGCTATTCCCTGTTTACTCAACCACAAGTCAGGTATAGAATTTTAGCTATTCTCTTCTGCTTCCCCCCTTTGTGGCTCCTGATCTCTTTGTTTCCTTATGAGTGGATGTAATTTGTGCACTGTTAAAATCCTATCATCTATTGACTTATTGTCTATTTGTGTAGTGGTGAATTCTGGGACTTGTATACAAGTCACTTGCACCAGCAAGTCATCCAGGGTGATCTACGTATTTGTCTGTATGGCCATATAAGTCAAATGCAGAATGAGGTAAAAAGTGCAGCACTGGATGAATGATTATAGGCCTTTAAATGTACCAATTTTGAGCTTGAGACACTGTGCTGTTGCATATGCTGAGCATTGTTATTCTGTTATTTATTTAGTCAACTGAGGCAAGCTTTTACCTAGATGCTTTTGTGACTTTGAATTTGATATATTTTACATCCAAGTTATGTCTTTAACTGAATTTAGGGGTAACCGGTGTTTTAAAAGTGCAAGGCGCAAAAAAAGCACAAGGGGCAATTTGTGCCTGAAGCACAAGGTGCAAAAATTCAAAAAACTCCAAAAAAATTAAAAAAAATGCCAAAAAGATTAAAAAAAGTGGAAAAAACATTAAACATAAACATAATATCAATAAAATATAAACCTAAATTTTAAAATAAACTTAAGTGGCAATGTTATGTTGGGTACCAGTCCTGATTCTACCTAAAACATTTTGGGTTTATCATTATAACTTGGTGAGGCTTGAGAGATGTGTTGTCACATAACATATGACTATTACTTAAGCTAGAATGATACTTCATCCCCTTAGCAAGAAATTGATGTTTCTACAAATAACCTCCTGCACGTGCATTTTTAAGGTGTTGTTTTAAGTATAAGCAACCTTAGATAACAGTCAATTTTTATTGAACAACCCAAAATGCTTCAAGTAGAAACAAAAATGGTACAAAATATAACCAAAATTGGCCAAAATTTAGGGTTAATTTGGTTTATAGGAACGAGGGTTTGGAATTGGAAACAGAATGGCTAACCATTTATGTGAGTTATGGGAAGCTCATAGCCGGCTCAAAGGAGCTGCCACCCATTTTTTTAGAGGAAATGGGCTCTCATTTCAACTTTGAAATTTGATCTTACTTTCTTGATAGTGACTCCATTTCTCTTTGGGAATGACATTCAACTAAGAGACCTTGGATTATGATGGATTGCGAGAGGGAATGTGTTAGGCACCTCTCTTCCCAAGTTGTAATATCCTAATATGGAAGTTATTTAGGCTTAATTTTCAAGAAACAATTTAAGAAGAGGTAAAACATCCAAAACCGTAGGAGAAGATTCTCAAGTTCCTTTAGACTTGGTTTGAGGTGATGTTATCGAGAGTTGGGTATTAGTATCCCCAAATCCCTTGTCTTTCTACCTTTTGCTTCAAGTTTAAGTGAAATCAGAAATGAGCTAAAATAGACTAAAGAGATATAAGAACAAGTTGAGAAACTTACTTCTTAGTTATAGCCTTGATTGTTGATATCCAGTACTTGGAACAAGCTGAAAAATAGGGATGGCAATGGGGCGGGTTTGGGGAGGGTTTTGTAAATTTTAGACCCTATCCGCCTCCCTAAATCTCCAAACCAATACCTGCCCCGAAACTCGTAGCGGTTTGGATTTTGAGAGTCCAAATACTTCCCGCACATAAAAGTGCAAAACCCTCCCCGACCCTACCTTCCCTGCATTCAAGGGTAGGGGCGGGTTGGGTTTAAAACCCGCATCTAATTTCCTATTATTTCTTGTCATATATAAGCAATAAATAAGTAAAATAACACAAATAAACATCAATATTTCTAATTATATGATTAAGACATGTTAAAAAACACATAAACTAGCAATTATCCTTCACATAAAATTTAAAATATTATTAAGTTAAACACATAGTCCATAAAGTTTATATGCTTTCCAATAATATGCGGGTTGGGGAGGGTCGGGTTTAGCCTAATACTGTACCCTACCCGTACCTGTACGGGTTGTAGAATTCCAAAACCCATACCCACCCCAAAACCCGCCATTTAAGCAAAAAAAACCCACCCCATCGGGGAAGGTAGGGCGGGTACCCACCAGGTAGGATAGAAATTGCCATCCTTACTGAAAATGACGGAGGACTCAAGCTGGTAAGTTGCTTCCAATTGATTTCTCAAAAAAAAAAAAWAGGGAGAGGACTTCAAGTTGTTTCACAGCCAATCAAATTTTGACAACGTCTATTAGATGGGAGGAAGATATTTTGGGCAGATTGGAAACTCAAGAGCTTAAGACTTGGGGGGTTCTTTCTGAGAAAGCAAGAATGCAGGTGTTGTAGAGGTTAGGAATGCTTCCAGCTCGTCCTTCCCTTTGTTGGGTTCGATTTGGGTCCTTTCTATAGAGATAAGAGGGAAAAAATCTATTTGAAACTTCAACTAATCACAAAACTTGGGTCTTAAGAGATTGTTTTCATGAAAATGGCAATGATTTTCAAATGGAGAAGGTTTGTAGTTAACATTTTTCTTGGTGCAACATTTTTCCTCGATGCGGGGTTGATTTCCACGGGTTTTGACTCAACCATAAATGTCATTTTGTCTTTTCTTAGCTTTAAGTTGGGGTATCTTTAGGTTTTTGGGTATTTTAAGTCTATTAAACTTAATTTTATTAGTCTAGATGTTTTATTAGGTCAAGTACAAAGTTGACATCAACCTCCACCTTCTTGAGGTTGGAGGTTGGGATAGATGAAGGGGCGATTTAATCTGGTGCATTGAAATGAAATTGTTCTAGTTTAATGGCCAAACAAGTGAATTAGTTCGTGAAATTAGACGCATTGGGGTCTTTGGTGGTGAGGTTTGATTGGTCAAATGAGGTTTGTATGATTATTTACGACTGATAAACTCTAATCAATGAGATCTGTTGAAATGGAAGTGGATCAAATAAAGGAATCTTCGGATGTGATTGTTTCATTGGTTTGAATTTTGGATCTATGCTCAAGGAATGTTTGACAAGGGCCAAGTTCAAGCCTGGCATCTGGTCGTACGACCAAGCGAAGACATCCTGGAACTTTGTGAAAGAAAACACAGATCAGTCTTACTTCTAACAAAGGCCTAATGTTTCCGATGAGGAAAGTTTTTTTTTACCTTTCAGTAGGTCAAGTAACTTTTGTTTTCCTTCTAGCTTGGTTGAAATGTATAATGGCCTTTTCTTTGCTTCTTCTGTGGCCATGTTTATTTCTTCTAACGGTTCTTTTACCACGTYGATGGAATCTTGCATATGTTTGGGAGGTGCGTGGATCTCATCATAGTACTCTACGGTCTCCTCCCCAATCCTTGTTATTTCGGGTAAATTTTAGTATCTTTGGCTTCGTTATTAATTGTGTGTATATTTATTGGGTGTGTCGTACCTTTGATTCTGGTAAGCTTTGTTTGGGTGGTTCGTTGTCCTTCTGCGATGAGATTACCGCGATGTCTGTTTGTAAAGATGATACGGTGAAATAGTTCCGGTTGAAAAGTTACTTGCAATGAGCGCATGGAGGTATATACATATTGGAGAGTGTAATAACTGTTTCCATTCAGAGTCCATGCGTACAATGATGGATGTATATGAGTATTAGATGCATTGTTTAAGTGATGAGTATATGGGAAATTTTATTTCAATAAAAGATGCATGTACAATGGTTGACTTGAACTTGATGATCATAGTATAACAAATTTTTGATGTATATATGATAGATATCAAGCATATTGGTTATTTCAATTTTAGCGATGGCGGTATAGCTTACAGTGACCATTTCAAGATATTTAACATTAATTGTAAAGTCATAGCTCTGGGATGGCTTTCTTAATTGCTGGCGCATCACCGTCCTCGTACTCCTCTACAATGGTGTAATAGCTCTTCCCATCATCGTCGATCGCTCTTACGCACCTCGTCCTCTTCTTCCTCTCTGGTGCGGCAGGAGGTTCATTCGCAGGGTTTGGCAGCTACATGCCTTCTACCTTGGCTATGCTCATCTCACCCTCATCAGGCAATTCGGTGTAGTGGATTGCATCCTATAGATGAGCCTTTGATTTATCAAAAGGGACACAAGTCTTAGGGATCCTCACCACACGTCCCTTGTGTTTTGCCTTAATGCATTGGTGGTACGTCGAAGGGACTAAGGCCAACCTATGTATCAACGGATGTCTTAGCAGGGCATGGTATACGGTCCTCCCTGAGATCACCTTAAATTCTTGGGTGATGGTGAACGACCTTATCACAATCGGTATCTCAATGGATCCTTTTGTGATGGATGTGTTACTATTGAAGTCCGTCACTTCCATGGGTAACCCCTTGACTGTCTCTTTCTAGATGCTCATCAACTTCAAGGTGTGGACGGATATAGATTCACGAAGCTGCCTGGATCAACCATGGATCGCCTCATCTCAAAGCCCCCTATCTTTGCTGTGATATATAAGGGTTGGTTGTGGTGGGGGTCAGTGGCCAGCATGTTATCTTGAGTGAACTCCACGTTCGTCCTGTCAAATCGTTGGGGCTCCAACGACCTTCTAAATGTCTCTGCCAGTGCCCTGATGGCGAGTCTCCTGTTAGACAGTGTATGCCCTTAGCTCCAATGAGGTTGATGTACATATACATTTATTGTAAATGAATAAAAGTACATTATTGTTTCATGTTGATATTGTTATGTTTATATGAAATTATCGTTTAAAGTAGATACTTATGAGACTCGTGTTAGCATAGAATGTTTGCATCCATTGGATAAACTTGGGAGAGTTTATCCTGCTAAGGCTGACACTGGTGTGCTGCCAAAGAAGTTGGGGCAACTTGTCTAAGTTGCTAGGGTTAGACCCAAAGCACATGCAGTGTGTGTTTGGTTGAAACACTGAACCTAGACCATTTTCCAGTTATGCCTGGACCTTGGAGATTGATGGGAAAAACTAGAAAGTTACACATAACCCCTAGACTTGATTATGGTACTGCACTAGGTGTTGGATTTGGCCATCTTTGATATGCCAATCAGTGAGATCCATTGTGGGTCAAAACTTGGGTAGGTTGGGGCAGTCCGAGAATTCACTTAAGTGGGTGATCTTAGTGATAGGATCGACCCCTTTGTCGAACAAAGCGAATGATAGGGTTTACACTCTCTCTAATGGAAACTTCATGATCATGATCACCTCCTCTTTGGTGCAGACAAAAGGGGGAGGGATCGGTGCATTATTTCTTCTGCCTTGGACTGCAATAATAGGGCCTTGCCTAGGCCCTCTAGTATTGCGAGGCTTTCTATCGACAACATAGGCCTCGTTCTTCCCATACTGTCCTGAGGCTGATGTAGACTAGGACGAAGTGCTTTTAATAGTGCATGTCGTCCTCTTCGCGCACTTCCACAACTAGTTTAAAGTCTTAATTTATACATTTTCTATGCCTATCCTGTAGGCGGGCTGCATGCCTTGCATGCATTGTTCGACGAAG